TGTGTGTGTGTGTGTATATATATATATATATATATGATCAAGAGTTTATTGTAATGAAGGAAGACATTAAAGCTGTACTGAAGACATTGAGGGAAAAAATAAGGACCCAGGAATCGATGTGATACCAACTGACATGCCTTAATTTTCATTCTAAATTGTAATAATAAAAATAATAAACTAAAAAAAAATTAATTAATTAATTAAAAAAATATACTTGGAAAGAGAGAAAAGTATCAGCATAGACTGAGAAAAACTCAATGTACAGACATCAATCAATTCAATCTGTTGTCTCCTGTGCCGGGTGTCGGGGAGAGAGGATACAGAGAAGTAAATGGCAGAGCAGATACAGCATGTCAGAAGGCGGTAAGCCCACAACTGTCAAACGGTTAAGAGGGCTCTGGGGGTGCCTTTGAGTTGTGGTGTTGAAGAGCCCTGGAGATCCCAGGGACCGTCTCCGCCAACGTGCAGCCAGGGCGCTCCGTGGGTGCGGCTCTGTCTCACGTACTGTGGGCCTGTCACTAGGAGAGGCTGTTCCTTGGGAGGGGGCATCATGCCTGGAAGGTGGAGGGTGAGCGGAAGAGGAGGCTCCTCAGTAGACGGACCGATACAGCGATGCCGCAATCGGCTGAGTGTGTGAGAGGTGCCGATGGCACAGGCTAGGATGAGATCCCATCTGCTGCTCACAGGTCACTGGGGGTCGAATTCAACGCAACAGGACCCCATCACAAGCACTGTGGGAGGGGCGTGAGCAGCACGCCTGTGGAACAGGATGGTCAGGGTGGGTTCAGGGAAAAGTAGCCATGCTGGCCAAACGTGAGTGAGTCCAAGGGGCTCTGGTGCTGCAGTGCTTAAAGAGCTCAGCTTTGAACAGAGAAGCTGGCATTTGGAACCAGTCATCTGTTCCACAGGAGAAAGATGAGGCCATGTTCTTCCACAGTGAGTGGAGCCTCGGAAAGCTGTGTAGCAGACAGTGCATCCTACAGGGTCTCCAAGAGCAGAAAAGGACTGAGGGCAAGGAGCTGGTGGAGGGCAAGGGGCTGGCAGAGGGCAAGGGGCTGGTGGAGGGCTGGGGTCTGGCGAGGGCAGAGGCCTGACCAAGGGCAGAGGCCTGGCGGAGGGCTCGCCAAGGGCAGAGGGAGACCTGTGCAGGAGGGAGGAGCACTTGCCGCAGAGGAAGCAGGCACTGCGTAGACCCTGCCCAGAGACTGCATGGCATACACAGGTGCAGAATATGTGTGCACTGGTGAGGAGGTCCCTGCGATCGTGGGCTGTGTCCCCAGGCGCTGGAAGGATGCTGACTGTCCTCAGGAGGGGACAGAGGGCCCCAGATCCCCATCAGAGGAGTCCTAGGACCTGAGTTTTCTGACAAAGGTGTTCCTTCAGTTACAGAACACAGCTGGAGACGAGGGAATGGAGGAGACTGGTCAAAAATTTTGGGGATCCAGGTGACAGAGAAGGGGGGGTAGTCGTGAAGGTAGGAGCCAAGGTGGGTGGTGCGAAACAGCTCTTATCTGGAGCTTGGTAGAAGACACATGACCTTCATGTCCTGAAGAACTGAATGTGGAGTAGTAAAGGGGGGGGAAAATCAGTGTGTAAGACAGGAATGTGGGCCGCCTGGAACCACACAGACAATGCCTCCCAAGGGGCCACATGTGCTAATTCCTCTTGGAGCAAATGAACAAGCTGAGGTACTATGACTGTTCTCCTCATTCTAAAAGCCATTCTTGCCCCCTCTCTTTACAGAACTGGAACACAAGATTAAGACCATGAAGTGATCGCTATGAGAAGAGTGCAGGACACATTTACAGAAAGTGCTCTTACACAGTGTGGCGTTATCATTCAGTAACGGAAATGCAAACCAGTTGTCAAGGGGGAAAGAAACTTTTAAGAAACATGTAAATACTCTACCTGTTCCTGAATCAGATATCCAAGACTTTGGACTTTCATCTGGTTTATTGAGGTAAAAAGCACTACAATGTGCAGCAGCAGAGAAATCAGGCTACAAAAAAAAGAAAAATATTAGTCAATAGATAAGACATCAGGCACAAGGTGGTGGCCTAGGAATAGGAGCTGGAGCCAGGCGTCAGCTAGGGCACAGACAAGCCCCCAGGGCCCCGTGACGGCCCAGGGCAGGGCGGCCTTCCTCCATAACTACACAGACGTAAAATGACAGCAGTAAGAGAGGAGGGCTGTCTTTCCCCGTGGGATTTACTAAAGTTGGTTTGGGGGTCTCTCTCTAGCAGAAAGGAGAAACCTGGGGGCAGGTGGATTTCATGAACTCAGAACTAACCAAGCCCACGGAAGCAGCTGTCAAGAGCTCACCAGGCATGTCAGCTGTGAAAAAGACTGCTCCATAGTGTTAAAAAGACGGTGACGTGCATCTGACCCAAGCCATGGCATTTTCAACAGCCTCACGTGTGCGTGAAAGCCAGACACGGAGGTGACTAGAGGAGGCGTCTGGGAGACAGCGTTGGTGAGGAATCGTGAATACCACGGACTGCCGGACAATGAACTGTCGTGGAGGCATGCAGACAGAACGGTCTGCAGAAGGGAGGACGGTGCGACTCCCTCTCACAGAGCACGCTGGAGGAGGGATGAGTCCCGGGTGTCGGAAGGATGTCGTGAGCCTGGTAAAGGAGGGTGGTGTGTACGAGAGGAAGACCCTCAACAAAGGTGACTGTCACTGGGGCTGCAGCGACGGCCCCGGCACAGCCAGGACCGTGGAGATGGGGCGGGAGCCCCCGGTGTTTGGTTCGTGGAGGATGAGGTTGTTGACCCTGAGCCACCACGACAACCAACAGTCATTTACGACTGAACATCTATTTCCAAAAGAAGTTGAGGTACCTTGAGTCCTTGAATTAAGGTCATTGAGTATAAAACAAATGTAAGTATCATTAACAAGCAATCGCTTGTTATGCATCAGAGAGTTGGACAATGACTAGGGAGGACAGAAGGAGAGTGGATGCTTTTGAGCTGTGGTGCTGGAGAAGGGTACTGAATGTACCCTGGGCCGCCAGGAAAACAAACAGATTCATCTTGGAGAGGATTAAACCAAGCTACTCCTTGGAGGCAAGGATTCTGGGGCTTCGTCTGACATACTTTGGACATGTTGCCAGGAGGGACGGGTCCTTGGAGAGGGACATCATGCTTGGGAGGGTGGAGGGACGGCGCAGGAGGGGAAGACCCTCTATGAGATGGATTGATTCGGTGACTGGGGTAATCGGGGTGGGTGTGTCAGAGGCGGTGCGGTTGGCGCAGGATAGAGCAGGGTTTAGAGCTGTTGTGCATAGGGTCGCTATGAGTCGGAAACGACTCGACGGCACATAACAACAACAAATCATTAACCTACAACTACAGTACATACCTATACAAACACTGATAATAAAACAATAAAGTATGTATAGAGACATGCATCTACAATGACAAATTCTGAAAATCAGTAAGTGCTATGAAGCTTAGCTACTAAAATACCCCTCCCCTCCAAACACTTGGCTGAGCCCAGGGAAAGCACAAACTAACTTCCCATTAATTCTGCTAAAAAACGTCCAGGTGCATCTCTCCTCACAGTCCCTGCAGCCCTGACGTTTACAAGCAGGGAGACGGACTGGAAAGGCTGTTCTAGTGGGTTCTTCCCCGTCAATTCTTCCACCACCACACTCTTCCTTCCTTAAGTCGACCAGACCTACCGGACCACTTAAGATGAGAGGACACCCCGAGTCTACTGTCCAAAGATCTCGAACCCAAACTAGCCCTTGCGGTTACCTTTTAGCTAAATAACAGATTTCTCACAAAATAAAAAATATCAGCTGTGAGTACTATGTGTCTTTAAAGAACCACTTATATGAAACCAGATGGTCATCAAGTACTTTAAAGCCGAGACGAAACTATTAGGGGGCAGGGAAACTAGATGGATGGGAATGTAACAGAACCAACAGAAAAAACGAGAACGTTCCCACACCCTGAGGACTGCAACCAACATGCATGAACAGAAACTGCCGACTACACTGCTGTGTGACGCTTCACCAAAAACACAGCAAAATGCATACTCGGGGTGGGGGTGGTGGTGTTCAAGCTGTGGTTGCTCAAAACCCACCTATGGGAACAAAAGTAAACTGGGAGAGTAAATAATAAAACGACTCTCAAGATTAAAGCCGGCTTGGAAGCAGAAGTGGCATTCAATTCCAAAACAGCTTTGCCTCCGGACACTCTATCAACTTGGAGAAACAACGAAAGTTATACAAGTGTTCAGGTCTTTTGTTCATGGGGTAGCTGTGAGTCCTTTACAACAGCACTTAACAACAACTATCAAGATAAATTCTTGCCTCAGCATTGATACCATTATAGTTTCTTTTTTATCAGTAAGAAATTCCTCAATTACCTTTTATCTGTTCTAAAAAGCCCTGCTCAAACTTGTGTCAAGTGTTGGAAGCTGGGAGGGGTGGGGGGCCCAGGGAGGGCTGAGTGGAGAAGATGAGCAAATGAAGTACCTCCTGGCATCAGACCACGAGCCCTCCGCAGGGCTGAGGCCAGCAGTGCCCTGTGCTCGGGGGACACACGGAGGGACCCTTCCCCGACAGAGCTGCCGGCCGCACGGCCCCGAGCTAACAGGGCAGGCCCCGCAGAAAACACCGACCCGGCAGAGCAAAGCCCCCCTGAGACGTAACCCATCTAAGCCCCAAGAGCTGCTTCCTGACTTTAATCAGTTTCAGCGACGGTCTGGTAGCCTGTCCAGAGAACCACCACAAAGCTGCAAAGCGGGTCGGCACCAGAACCCTTTCCAGTCCGTCCCACACAGAGAACCACCGAGACAAAGGCAAGACCTGCACCGGGCCAACTCCTCGGGCTTCCCAGCACACAGTGCAGGACAGACCTCAAACAGCTACCACTGCAGAGGAAGTGAGGATAGGGTGAGGACAGGGTCCACCAAGTGAGGTTACTGACCGAGCCGGAAACGCAAAACAACTGGGGAGGAGGCGTGGAAGAAAGCCCACCTCTGAGGATCCTTCAAATGTGGCTCAGAATCAGGAGTGATAGGGTTAAGTGGTTTTTTGGGTTTTTGTTTTTTTGTTTTTTTAATGTGTGTACCGTCAAATTGGATCTGACTGGTACAGGAGGCGATTGTTCCTCCTTCTTCAGCAGCAGAGCATCCGGTGAATTTGAACCACACACTTCTGGGATTGCAGTAGAGTTTCCTGCCACTAGGCCACCAGAGCTCGCCAGGTTAAGTGGTTTTAAGTGACTACCCACTGTTACCTCAAAACAGAAATTAGAAAACAGCGAAGACATTTTACTTCCTCTAATGACTGATCCCAAACATTTCACTCACCTCACAAAAGGAGAGAGCGAGAGACAAGGGGATGAAAACCTGCCGGGAGGCGATCAAAGAAAACACAAGCGCTGAGCTGGAGAGTCTGCTCGGAGCCCTAGCTCTGCACCTGTTGGGTCCCACGGGCGAAGGCGCCCCGATCTGCCTCCCACAGGTCTCTCCCGCACCCCACACCTGCTCATCCACGGCCCCGCTATCCTCCATGCAAGCAGAGAGTAAAGTCAGGCCACACCAGTGGTTCCCAGATCCTGGCCGCTGCGGCGTGGCTGGGTTCCGGCGAGGCTGACAGCGCACACACAACAGTGCTCAGCCGGGGCCTGGGGCTGGGACCTGGACGCAGCCTGTCCTCCAAGGTGCCTCCGAGGAGCCAGCACCCTGCTAACGTGACCCTACCTGGTGCAGGAGGGGTCATCCATGCTGCTTCAGCGGGGTGGGGGGCTAAACCAGAACGAACCAGCTAAAGTCGTGGGCTCACAGCCTCCTCGGTGGAGTCAGAGGTCTCGGGCTGGCAGGCTGGTTAACGGGTTAGTATGTCTACAGATCCTCAGGTGGCCCTCAAGTGCGGCCGCTTAGGAACCCTCGGATGTATCAAACCTATGGTCAGGGGTATTCACAAAAACATGCAAACCTGTGAACTCACAGCCTTAGCAGCTCCACGCGATCACGAGGAAAATTCCCACAAAACCAAGTCTCAGTGAAAAACAACAACAGAAAAGGAGATATGGGAACACCTTCTCCCAGGATTCCAGTCTAGTCCAGTTAAAAACAGCTGTTTTGACCACAGTCTCCAAACGCCTTTCAGCTATCATCCCAAACACGGCTACTGCACACAGGGTCCAAAGAACAGAACATGGCAGCACCAGGCCTCGCTGGGCCACACGGCACAACCACACGCTGCACCACACACAGCACCAGGCCTCGCTGGGCCTCTCAACACCACACGCTGCACCACCACACAGCACCAGGCCTCACGGCACCACCACACGCTGCACCACTGCACACTGCACCAGGCCTCACAACACCACTGCACACTGCACCACTGCAAAGTACCAGGCCTCACTGGGCCTCACAACACCACACGCGGCACCACCACACAGCACCAGGCCTCACTGGGCCACACAAGCTTCCGAGGTTTCCTGGACCTTTCTCCATCTTTACTTTCCTCCTCCCCAGTGCAAATCTGAAGAGTCCAAAGACTAGTGAGATCAAACCTTTGTCCTTGAGTCTGTTCACAGGCCTGGTAATGCTGGAGAGGACACACAGTGGCCAGTGGGGCAGGACAGGACACAAAGTGGTCGGTGGGGCAGGACAGGACACAAAGTGGTCGGTGGGGCAGGACAGGCCACTCGGGCCTAGTAGGACTGGACACACAGTGGCTGGTGGGGCAGAACAGGACACACAGTGGCCGGTGGGGCAGGACAGGACACATGGGCCAGGGAGGGCAGGACAGGACACACAGTGGCCAGTGGGGCAGGACAAGCCACTCGGGCCTGGTAGGACAGGACACACAGTGGCCAGTGGGGCTGGACAGGACAGGACACACAGTGGCCAGTGGGGCTGGACAGGACAGGACACACAGTGGCCGGTGGGGCAGGACAGGACACTCGGGCCCAGTAGGACAGGACTTCTTTACAGGCAGAAGCTGCCACATCTTTCTCCTGAGGAGCAGCTGGTGGATTCGAACCAGCAACCTACTGACAAGCAGATGAGTACTTAAGCCACAGCCCAGCCAGCGCCCCTTTTTTAAAGAACCGATACATATAGTGTATCATTCTCTGCAATTCTCAGGGATCAAAGGAATGGACTGTCGGCAGAGTTAGTTAGCCATACAGTCTGTGAGCTCGCACAGCTGCCCCTGCGCTGGTTCTCCGAGGCTGCAGACAGCGGAGGAGGAGGCTGCCGGGTGGACATGAGCTGCCAGGGAGGCGCGTCCTTTGGCAGCACAACCACGTCTGGACTACGCCGCCAGAACTCCCTCTCCACCCCAGGAGAGGGCACAACACCAGGGGTGCGGGCAAGGGTGCTGAACCCCGACAGGCAGCCCGGCCCGCACCGTGACAGGCGATTACCTTCTCGGGGGGCGACCTCGCCTGCTCGCTTCCGTGCACAGACTGTGAGCGTCCCTCTCCCACGTGCGCTCTCTTTGGTTGGTTCTGCTTCAGCTTTTGCGCCCAGGATGTTATAGATTTGCTGTTAAAAAGGAGGACACCAAAATGATTCCTGTTCTTCCCACGCCGTCTACACATCGGCGGGCACTGCTTTCCTAACAGCGGAGGGGTTGCTGTGTCCAGAGAGTCAGGCCGACTCCCAGCTGACCCTCCAGCGGGTTTTCAGAGGCTGTAAACTGCAAGGGAGGAGGAGACTGTCCATCTTTCTCCCACGGGGCAGCTGGTGGATTTGAACTGGGAATCTCTGACTTGGCAGCACGTAATTTGTTACCTAAATGTCCTTTTCTGAGTTCTTATTCACAAAGGCAAAGCAAACAGTGAGTCATCGGCAACGTGTACGTCTCCTACCCAGATTAACAAGACAAAATCCATCACAGTGCCTCCTTCTGGAGAAGGTGTCTCCTGGCATATTCCGTGGCTGCCAGCTCTGACCCCCAGTGCCCGGGAGGGCAGAGCAGAGCTGCCCGAGGGGGCTGCCAGGGCCGAAATCCTCCTCCCCTCTCCCGCAGCAGCTGCTGAGCTGAACCACCGACCATCCCGCCAGCAGCCAAGTGCTCAATCACAGTGCCACCAGGGCTTCTTACGTCTTGGCACAGACTAACGCTTATACTTGTGAGTGGACAAGATTTGTGTTGCTCTAGAGGAAAAACCCAGTATATTTAATGCATTTTAACTGAAAGCTTAGGGTAAATAATAATTTTTAAAAGATTATTTGCTTCTGACAACTATTCAGCCAGTTTCCTATCTTGGATCATTCAAAAGGATGCTGAATGTATAAAACTTCTCCTTATAGTTAAGTCTTACAGACGAAAGAAAAATCAATATAACCAAATATGCTTGTAGTTAAGTTTTTGTTTTGAATTAAGTGAACACGTGAAACAAAACTGCAGTGCGGGTCCAGCCCTGAGGCTGAGCTTTCAGCAGGCGTGTATCAGCACAGTCTCCCACCTGAAGACTTTAGCAAACAGGAGGGAGGCCTGAGGGCATCAGTCTATGGGACGCTCGGCCTATTTCAATTTTTCACAGGTAGTAAGTAAATAAAAAATAGTCAACAGTAATCTATTGAATTCCGTTTTAACACTAAAATTGATGTACCAACAGGCACCTGGACTGAGTCAAGGGCCCCTAATGCCACCAGGTGTGGTAAACAGGTAAAATTCTTCTCAAGTGGTGGTAGAATCCCACTTACCTATTTGGTTTTGCACTATATACTTCTGAGGTTTTGTTTTCGCCAAGAAGACCATGCTCAAATTCATCGGGAAAATTAGAAAGACCATCCTTTAGAGACACGCTGAGCTCCTCTGCGGTCTGTATGTAAAAGCTCTGACTCGTCACGCCACCTGCAAACGACTCTGTCGGCACCATGGGGGCTGCGTACTGTCCTGCAGGGGACTCTGCATGTTCCATCAGCTCTCTGGGGTCCTGAGACTTGCAGGCGTTTACATCTGAGACGCAGAAGGTGCCATAGCCACTGCTCACAGAACTGCTGTCCACGTTGCAGTCTGGCTGGGATGAGGAGGAATCTTGCTGCATCTCGGGTTCTTTAGACATAGGAAAATGGAGCACACACTCATTTCTCTCGCTGTTCTCAGAAAGAAAACCCATCTGACTTTCGGGAGATGCTTGTTTGCTTGAAGAACCACCACAGGGTGCCCAGGCAGCACTACTGGTCTGTAGCTTCACCACGTTTTTTATCTCCTCCTGTATACGCTGCAGATAAACAGGTACAGAGTCGAAGAGGAAAGAGCATAAGTATTTATAACATTTTACAGGTTTTATAAAAATATTGTGGTTGCAAACAGATTCAAATGTTGCTCTCTAAAATACTACAATTCAAATACTTATGTGTACCCCACCGCTCATGATAGCGTTATTTATAATAACCAAAAGGTAGAAACTACCCAAGGGTCCAACAATGGACAGAGGGTAAATAAAACGTGTGTGCACGCACACAGCTCATTATTCTGACAGAGAGAGAACTGAGACTGAGACCTGCTCCCACCCACATGGACCTTGATCATATGATGTACAGCGGAGTTAGATACAAAAGGAAAAATATTGTATGATCTCATGTTGATGAAATACCTAAAACAGAGAAATATCTAGAGACCAAACATTATGACTGGTTTCCAGGGATGAATGACGGCTCACAGGATACTAAGTTTCTATGAAAGGGGTTAGGAAAACTTGGTAAGATGCAGGGTTGGTTTAACAACAAGGTGAAGATAATTAATGTTACTGAATGGTGCACTTTAAAAATGACTGAAATGCTTGGAACTGAATTCTCTTTTGCAGTTCAAGTTCAAGCCACGGACTCAGGCCTAAAGGGTGATCAACAAAAAGAAAGACTGCCAAAATCAAAGGGAAGAACTGCTGAAGGAAAAGAGGTAACAGAGGATTCCAAAGGGCGGTGTGAAAGACAAGGTGAAGTATTACGAAGGAATCTGCGAAGAGCTGGACTTGGAAAACAACAAGTGAGCAACACTTCTCAAGCTCAAAGAACTGGGAAAGAAATTCAACCCTCCACTTGCAATACTGAAGGATGCCAGGGGCAAAATTCTAAGTAATTCAGGAAGCATCAAAAGATGGAAGGAACACACTGAGTCACTAAACTGAAAAGAATTGGCAATACAGAACCATTTCAGGAAGGATGATCACAAACCAATGGTGATTAAGAAAGGAGTTCAAGCTGCACTGAAGGCATTAGCAAAAAGTAAGGTGCCAGGAATTGATACCAACCGACATGTCCCAACAAACAGATGCAGCTCTAGACGATCTCACCAAGCTAAGCTAGGAAACGTGGAGGGCAGCTGGCTGGCCAACTGACTGGAAGAGATGTCCATCTATTCCTATTCTCAGAAAAAGGTGATCCAATAAAATGTGGAAATTGCCAAGCAATATTACTATCACATGCACGTGAAATCTTGCTGAATATCATTCAAAAATTACTATAACTGTACATCTACAGAGAACTGCAAGAAATTCAGGCTGGATTTAGAAGAAGCCATGACACGTGGGATTATCACTGCTGATGTGAGATAGATCTTGGCTGGAAGCAGAGAATACCAGAAAGATGTCTATTTGGGTTTTATTACCTACTCAAAGGCATCTGACCATGTGTATCATAACAAATTATGGCTGACATTGAGAAGAATGGGAATCCCGGAACACTTAATTGTGCTCATGCAAAACACCTACATCAAGAAAGAGTTATCCGAACGGAGGAAAGGCACACTGTATTGTTTAAAACCAGGAAAGGTGTGCATCCAGGTTGTATCCTTTCTCCCTGCGTATTCAACCTGTACACAGAACAAATCATTCAAGGAGCTCGACTATATGAAGGAGAATGTGTACTGGGATTGGAGGAAGGCTCACCAACAACCTGAACTATGCAGATGACGCAATGCTGCCTGATCAAAGGGAGCTGGACTTAAAGCACGTGCTGCAGAGGATCAAAGACTGTGTTGTTTTCAAGATGGATTAAATCTCAAGATCAATAAAACAAAAATCTCACCATCAGGCCGGCAGACAACACCCGGATAGACTGAGAAGGGACAGAGATTGTCAATTTTGCTTGGATCCACAATCAACACCCCTATCGCTAGCAGACGGGAAACCAAAAGATTCATTGCATGGAGACAGCTTGCTGTCAGGGACCTCTCCAAAGTGCTAAAGAGTCATGATGGGAGTGTGGAGGCTGAGGTGCACCTGATTCACGCCATGGCCTTTTCAATCACTTGCTATGCATCTGTGAGTTGGACAATAAATAAGGATGACAGAAGAACTGATACCATTGCGTTGAGGTGTTGGAGAAGAATGCTGAACATCCCATGGATGCCAAAAAGACAAAATGTATATCTTTGGTGGGGGGGAGGATGTGTGTGGGAAAATAGAAGAATCTGTTCTGGAAAACAATGTGTTCAGAATTTATAAAAAAACTAGTATAATAATAATAAAAGTATTTTTAAATAATAAATTAAATTAAAAATAATAAAATTGAGGAGGGGGAAAAAAGTCTATCTTGGAAAAGTTGCAGCCAGGGTGCTCCTTGGAGGCAATGATTGTGAAATTTCATCTCACACAGTTGGTATACGTTGTTAGGAGACACTAGTCCTTGGAAAAAGGACATCATGTCTGCACAGGTGAAGGGTCGGTGAAGGAGGGGAAGACCTTCAATTAGACGGGCTGACGCAGTGACAGTGGGTGGACTCAGGTGTGGCAGAGACGGTGAGTATGGCCCAGGACAGGGCACTGTTCACAGGCTGTCACGAATTGTGGTCGATTCGATGGCATCCAACAAGAACAACACAAGGTGATCCACAAAACCTGGGAAGAATGCAGGCCTTAGGACAATCAACCACCACTACAAATGGCAGCACGTGCCTGGGAATAAAGCTCAGAGACTGGAAAGGACAAGACAGATGGCAAATGGAGATGAGAAATATAAGGACGAAGTGGGAAGAGCGCTGTCACAACGTTGGGACTGTAATTAAGTCCTGAAACACAAAGCACAGAAAGCCAATTTGCTCTGTACACTTTCAGCCAAACCATAGTGAAAAGCTTTTAAAAATGGTTGAAATGACAATTATTTTTTACATATATCCTACCACAAGAAAAGTTTCTAAAGAAGAAAATGAATAGAAATTGTCACTAAAAATCAAACCAAAGAGCTGAGAACCCTGGTGGCGCAAGCATGCGGCGTTGCTGATACCAGTGAAGCCCAAGTGTAATTATGCCATCTCCTTAAATGCTACTCTTAAGATAACAAGTTATGTTTTGTCTTCAGTTTACAAACAAAACTGATAGAAAGTTGTAGTTTCTCTGCAAACCGTACAAATACTAAAATCTAAAATAATCGTGTGAGGGGGCATGCAGCTCCGCGGGGTGGGGGGACCCCCCCCCATGCAAACAGCTCCCACCTGAATGTGGCTGTGGAACTGCTCCTGCTGGGCCACTATCTGCTCCTGGCATTGTTTTTCCACCAAACTGAAGAGCTGTAACCACCAGGTCTATTAAATGCAGAAAACAAGTCTGGTTAAAAAATAGAAAACAACAATTCATAAAGTTAAGGTATTTTTTCACAGAAAGAGTTTTCCAGGGGGTAAAGATCCTTTTTCCCCACCTGTATAATTTACAAGCTGAAAGAAACAAACCACTTTTAAAATACAGTTCATGGAAAAATGGAAGGACACAGCACAGAGTGGCGCTTATGTAAGCCGCAGCCCGGAAGGTCGAGCCGGTCCTATTTCAAGCAGCACCATGTGCTGTCTTCTGATTAAAACACCTCCTGGTGGATGCGCTCGGCATGGGTCTCACGGTCTCTCTGCTTCCTCTCCTCCTCATGGGGAGTGATTTCTTAAATACCACCGTGAGCCCAGAAGCAGAAACCCACATCCTTCAGCAAGAGTACCAAACCATGGTTTACAGCCTCTGAGTATTCGCTCTGTAAGGAAAAAGATGCTACTAAAGTGAGGCATGGCACAATTTTAAAGTGCTTCAGAGCTAAGAACGGGATGGAAAAAGCACTGAGGACACGGGAGTCAAGCTCCCCAATCCCTTGACTGTTCATGTCTGGTTCTGGTTCTCCCTGACTGGGGAGCCTCGTGCCAAAGGTTATGACCTGGCTCCGCCGGGATCAGCTCAGGGATGGGTCACATCGCAGTCACATGTGACAGCGACAAGGAGCTTCTGGGTCTGCAAAGTCTTTTTTTTTAAATATTTATTTTATTATTATTTTTGTGCGTGTACCGTCAAATCGGATCTGACTGGTACTGGAGGAGATTGCCCCTCCTTCCCCGGCAGAGCATCTGGTGGATTCAAACCGTGCGCCTCTTGGATTGCAATGCAGCTTCTTGCCACTAGGCCACCAGAGCTCCCCTATGCAAAGTCTTTTCTAAGCCCTCCTTCTGGGGCCCCACACAGTCCACGTCACGCACATGCTCCAGCTCCACCGCGTTCTTCTCTATCTTTCTTCTCTGGCCAGCAGGTCCTACCACCCCACCACCCCGGGTTCCTCTGTGTCCCTTGAGCCTCTCCCCACCACAAAAGCTTTGAATTGGCAGTGTCCTCACGTGGAAAACCATCGCCCCAGCTCCTAACAAGGCAGCCTCCTCGATCCTGGCATTTCGTTCCCCGGGCCCCTTCCCCACCCTCTACCTCTCACTGCTGGCCTCTCCTCAGCCCAGCTATCTCCGTCTCCTTCACAACCATCACGCCCTCCCAAAGGCTCTGTGTCCAGCACCCTGGACAGAGAGCACACAAGCCTAATCGAACAGAGAGCACCACAGCGCATAGGACAGGGCAGGGTTTAGAGCTGTGGTTCGTAGGTTCGCTATGAGCGGTCCTGGACTCAATGGCACGTAACAACTTGCATCTTACATCATTTCAGAGGATATGGGCATCTGGCTCAAAGTTAAGCCTACCACAGCTTTGGGACGTTTGTTCGTTTAATTAGACTGAACAGGAGTTCCTGAGTCTGACCTAGAGGAAATCTCTTGGGTGCTGGGTTAGATCAGCACCCTGTATTAACATTATCTGTGAGGTCCCAACAAACATAGCCTGTTTGTGCCTCACTTACCTACCGTATGAGGTTCACAATACTTTATCAGTGACTGGGAAAACTCGATTTTAAATTTAAACAGGACAGAGAAGAAATTCATCTCCTGTGTGTGTGTGGTCTTGTTACCATGGAGAAAGACATGATGCCTTTGAAAGAGGTGGTCAGGGAAACGAGGCGGCCTCTCCCCGAGATGGCAGTGTCACGGGGCTGCAACAATGGGCTTGAGGGGGATAGCACTGGGCAGGGGTTCCTTCTCTTGTCAAGGGGTCGACAGGAACAGGAAACTTTAGAACAGATCAAGAAGTCTCAATGGGATGGAACTGCACTACAAAAATCTGTGAGGTCGTGGATGTCACAAGTATCGGGGAGAAGAGGAGACAGTGCTGTCACTGCATGGGCAGGGCCCAGGGACGCAGCCCACAGGACAGGCCCCACACAACGGGCAGGGCCCAGGGACGCGGCCCACAGGACAGCCCTGCACAATGGGCAGGGCCCAGGGACACAGACACAGGACAGCCCCACCCAACAGAGAACTGTCCCATACTCATTTTGAACAAGAACATAATCTAAAACGTGCAGCTCAGATTCACTTATTATCTGGAATGAAACTATCAAGATCTTAGTTTCAAAACCTTATTAAAAGCGAGCTCTGGTGGCCTAGTGGCAGGAAGCTGCACTGCAATCCCAGAGGTGAGTGGTTCAAATCCACCAGATGCTCTGTGGGAGAAGGAGGGGCAATCTCCTCCTGTACCAGTCAGATCTGATTTCACCGTAAACAACCCAACCCTTATTAAAGACTGGCAACCACTTCAGAATATCACGTCCCAGGAGGTGTTGGCCCTGGCCCTGGATCCTGAAGCAGTCTGAGGCTGGGCATTCACGGTGAGCTCACAGAAGGAAGCACCACGCAGCCCCCTCATGTAAATGGGCATAAACACACACACACAATCCCGTGGCCATCAAGTCCCTTCTGACTCACTGTGACCCTACAGGGCAGAGCTGACCTGCCCCACAGGGGTTCCAGGGCTGGAATCCTGGAAACAGACGGCCTGACCCTCCTCCCACAGAGCAGCTGGGAGGTTCCCACTACCTACTTTGCAGGTAGCAGCCACAGCTTACTCACTGTGCCACCAGGGGTCTCTCAGATGTGCCTAGGCATTTATATACTGAAATACACTGTTGCTGTTATTATGTGCCATCAAGCCACCCGCAACTTAAAGCGACCGTAGGCTCTGCACCCTGCCCTGGCCTGGGCCAGTCTCATTAACTCTGACACCCCCACCTCCACTGCCTCAGTTCTATAACAAACCATCTCATCAGGCTCTTCGTCTCCTGCACTGGCCCTCCACCCTTCCGAATACGATGTCCTTCTCCAAGGACTGTTCCTTCCTGGTCAGGTGCCCAAAGGATGTGAGAGAGCTTCCAAATCCCTGGCTCCAGGGAGCAGCCTGGTCTCCCTCTCTCTCTCATAGATGCTATTCTCTGCAGCTCAGTTACAAGAACACTGTACGGATTTCATTTTTCAGTGGCTGCTTGTCTGTTATTAGGCACAGGAAAAACAGAAGCTGTTATCATCTGTGAGTTTCACTTCAGGATAAGGAAGCATGATGTTATTCTTAAAGTTGATGATCTTGGAAAAAGAGCACTTGGGCATCAGGGAAGACTGAGTGCCAAGGGGACACACGTGTGTGGTACACTGGCCAGGAGACAGACACAAACCGGTGGGTACTGTGATAATGAGGGGCATATAAACTTTAGTCTTCTAATCATTAGCACTAAGTAGAGAAAATGCTAAAGCCACTAGTTAAAACAAGTTAGGTAATGACGCTCTTTAAGAAGTTCTGTGAAGGGAGCGCTGGTGGCCTCGTGGCAAGAAGCTGCACTGCAATCCCAGAGGCGTGCAGTTCGAATCCACCAGATGCTCTGCTGGAGAAGGAGGGGCAATCTCCTCTTGTACCAGTCAGAACCGATTTGACGGTACCCACACACACAAATAATTTAAAAAAAGTCCTGTGAAATAAGTCAGACAAAAAAGGACCTAATATTGTATAATCCCATTTCTATGAAATACCTCACTGGGACAGGGAGAGGCCCAGGGACCAAAGTGTATTTGTGGTTCCCAAGGACTGGGGGAGCAGAGAACCAAGAGTTACTGCCTGGGGGGTGCGGTGTTTGTCAAGACTGATGAAAAGCTTAGGGAATGGAGTGTGGGGAGCTACCAGGACACGGCAGATGTAGCTCATGTCACTGGAGTGGACATGTAGAGTGGATAAAAGGAAAAAAAACTGTATATATAAATTTTTTTAAAGTTTCTAACAACCTCAGAATTATCTGCCGCAGTTAAGGATTTAAACGTGTTTTAGAAATATTTCTATTAAGATGCTAACTTGTCATGTAACTGATCCAAACTATGTAACCTTTCCGAGTGTGAGCAGTCACGGCTTCAGAAAGGCAGGACACAGGCCTTGGAAAGGGGCCCACCGGGGTCGCAGGAGCCTCAGAGCTCTCTGCTGCTCCTTATAAAACACAATGAACGAGAATGATCCTCTGAAGCACAAGGTGAACGAATGATACTGTGAAACACAATGTATACAAATGTTGTATGCAAATCAATATAAAGTAAAAAAAAATTTAGAAAGAGACTTTTCTTAAAATGTGATTTGAATAAAAGTTTACAGAGTTAACTGGCTTTCTATTCAATTATTAATACTAATTTTCTTTTTAATAAGTTTGCTGATTGTAAACTACATATAAACTGCAAGTTTATACCATCTAAAACATTCTTGGTGAAACATTCTTCTAGGTCATGTAACCCTGGTAGGTCCACTTGCTGTACGGAGGTAACTCATGGTTGCTGTGAAGCCAAATACTGTTACCCACGCTGGACAGTGTTTGGTGAAGCTCCCTGATTAAAACAAGCTTGGAAGCAGGAGTGGCATCCACTTCCACAGTAGCTTGCCTCTGGAAACCCTATGAACTTGGAGAAAGGATGAAAGTTATACAGAAAGTGTCCAGGACTTTCATTCATAGGGTCGCTATGAGTTGCCTGAGACTCAACGGCACTTAACACAACAACAACAAACCAAACCCAAGGCAACTGCTTCAAGCCTGGTGTCTGTGACCCCACGGGGCAGAGACCATGTGGAGGGCATCCAAGGCTGTCCAAGGTGCCACCAAAGCCTACTTGGTCTTACACACTGCAAGCATGCTCCTGCCACTTCCTGCCTGTCATTTTCAGTTTCTGTTTCTTCCTAATAATGTCCTTTCCCACCCTACTGCGGCCCAGCTGGCTATGACACGCAAGGACCCTGGAGGACAGAGGGAACTATCCCTACAGAAGCAGACTGTTAGATCTTGTCCCCAAAGAGTGGCCGCTGGGTTCAAGCTCCTGATCTTTTGTTAGCAGCTGTTGTTGTTGTTGTTGTGTACCACAGAGTAGGAACCAACCCACAGCCACCGCTCTGGGGGTTTCCCAGAGGCAGTTAATAGCACGGAGGAAACTCCCTGTCTTTCTCCTGTGCAGCAGCTGGTGGACTTGAACTGCGTGCCTTTGGGATTGCAGTGCAGCTTCTTGCCACTAGGGCACCAGAGTACCCATGGTTAGCAGCAGAGCGCTAAGAACACCCCAAGTGCCTGCTGTGGAGTTGACCTCTAACCCCCCGAAAGCCTCTACTGGGCTTCCAAGGCTGCAGCTCCTGCTGGGAGCAGATCACCTAACCTCTCTCCTGTGGAGCAGCTAGTGGGTTCGAATGGCCAGCTAGCAGCCCAACACTCACCCACTACACGCCAGGGCTCCTAAGTAATGCACACGCAAAACCAAAAGTCCAGCCCACTGCTGCTGAGGGGATGCCCACTCACAGTAACCCTGCAGGACAGAACAGCCCACGGGGTCCCCCGAGCTGCAGTCTTTTCAGAAGCAGACTGTCGCCTCCTTCTCCTGACAAGCACCCGGTGGGTTCAAAGCACCAACCATCGTGTTGGCAGCTCAGAGTTCTAACCACTGCACCACCAGGGTTTCTTATAATTAATGTTCACTGGACTCTTTAAAAAGGTTACAGAAATTAGAATGAATGCTACTACTCTAAAGGGAGGTGAAAACATGAAATTTGTGCAAAAAAAGTTTAGGAATAGACTCCCATGATCCTTAAAACATAACCTCATACTTTCTACAACACTCCACTAAAATGTCAGAGGCTATTTTGTTAGTTTTCACGTATTACTAGAAAACATCCCAAATAAACTCAAACTCAAAAAATGTGGCTGAATTGACCAGTGTTTCATATTCTAGCTCAGTAAGAAATATTATCAATGACTCCTCATCAAATAGTCAATTACATACCCAATGATTTTAAAATAGTTATTATTGTTATGTACTGTTGGCCTTCCCCAGAGTACTGAAGAACAACGATGTCAGTCGGAGACTAAGGTGTGCCTGATCCAGGCCATAGTCTTCGTAATTACGTGCTATGTGTCAGAAAGCTGGACAATGACTAGGGATGATAGAAGGAAGATTGATGCCTTTGAGCTGTGGTGCTGGAGAAGAGTATTGAATATACCAATATACCACGGACTGCTAAGAAAACAAAGAGGTGCATCCTAGAGAGGGTGAGAACAGCTGCTCCTTGGAGGTAAGGATTCTGAAGTGCTGTCTGATACAGTTTAGGCATGTTGCAAGGAGGGATCAGTCCTTGGAGAGGGGCATCATGCTTGGGAGGGTGGAAGGACAGTGCAAGAAAGGAAGATTCTCGATGAGATGGATTGACTCAGTGATGGGGTAATGGGGTAAGTGTGTCAGAGACAATAAGGTTGGCACAGGATAGAGCAGGGTTCAGAGCTATTGTACACAGAGTTGCAATGAGTAGCAGGTGACTATATGGTACATAACAAGAAGTCAATGAATTGTTACATGTAATGAAAATGTAATGAAACATTCCCTTTTAAGTTACAGTACTTAAAAATGATTCAAATTTCACAGTGTGATTATGTAGATAAAAAAATATAAAAACACAGAACTGCTATTTTCCTATTTTTTAAAGTTTATGATAATGTTCAATTGTTTTTAGAACTCTGATAATTATGAATGATTAATGTTAAGTAATTAGTTAGAGGTGTTACTGGATTTTTAAATCAAGTAATCTCAATCAATTTATTATCCTGGAAAAAAAGCGAATGCATATGATTTTAAAAGGATGATTAACATTTAAAACCAAAATCTACTGCTCTCTAAATAAAGAACTTAGTAATTTTTATTCCTGTAATGTAATACCAGGCCTTCCTTTGGAAAATCTACTTTAGGTATTCTACAAAATAAAACAAATGCACAAATAGTTCTTACTATTAAAATTTAAAATTTTTTTATCACATTGAAGAAAGACTCACTGACATTAAAAATCAAAATAAAGCAATATATCACATCTACAGAGACAAGGCACGATTATGATAAAGCACTAGAAACCTTAATATATAGAATTAGGACACTCAAAGTCTATATACACAAAATCTACTATACTTTATTCTCATCTCCAATGACCCAACAGGACAGAGCAGAACTGTCCCACCGTGTTTTCAAAGATGTAAATCTTTACAGAAGCAGCCTGTCTCCTCTATCCTGAAAGCCTCGAACCACCAACCCTCTCACTGGCAGCCCAAAACTTAATCCACCATCCCAAAACTTAATCTACCATCCTACTGGGGCTCCTGACACAGGCCTTGGTGTTTGCAAACAGTAACCTTTTCATGTGAGTTACTAAAAACATTAACATCAGCAACAACGTTAATGATTTTGGGATCCCCAGGTTTCCAAACAAAGGCAACATTTCAGCTCACATTTAACAGAGAGAGAAGGCAGAAGGCCCAGCCACACTAAACATTGTTAAAACACACTTTCAGTCTCTTCTCCACATCCCTAAATATTGTTCCTCCAGTAGATACCTGCCCACCTTACTTTTACAGCAAATTAAGTATCATTTCTTACTTTTTCAAGAGATAGACTTCTAATAATTTTGCGCTTAGAAAAGGTACTTTAAAAATTATTTTACAATTTCAAACATAAAAAAAAATCTCGATACCTCACAGTTTTTCCAAAGTTCCGAATCAGTCTTCCCACTGCTTTGCAGCTCTTGCATTAAACAGGTTGGGCCTTCAACTGTATGTTGGATAACAGATGGTCTGGTGTTCCCCAAGGAACGGGACACTCCATTTGTACTAAGGTGGGGACAACTTCTGTTGAAACATAAATAACGCAAATTATTTTCTTCATTCTACTGAAGCAGCGAACAATTCAGCAGTTCAAGGTTTCGCACAGCAGCACAAAACCACTGACACGTACTCCCACCTCATTTGTTCAAAATCTGATCCCGGCTTTGTCCTCAGAGAGAAAGAGCAGGAACAGGAGAGCCAGCACTTAACTCATTTATTTTATTTAAATGAACACAACAGTCTTCCCCACAAGTGAGGGAGCACAGAAAAGTTTCTGTTAAATAATCCGAAGGAAAACTCCTCTCTTCTCAGATGTATGTGATTCTAGAGGATTCTTTTTGCTTAAAATGTAGCCCTTCACATTAGCAGGGATTCCTTTTGTACTGCCCAGCATGTCACCTGAATCCCCCCAATTTGGTGTGATAAGCGAGGTTTATCTGGGCACAGACTTCGTGCCTGGCGTATCAGCAGTAACTGTTCCGGCTGTCAGTCCCCTGAGGGTGCAACATGGCACAGATTCTTCCCTAAGGCCCATCTTTGCCAAGCTTTGCTTCAAGTTTGCTTTAGAAAACAAAAAAAGGTATCAGTAAAGGCATTAAAATTTACACCGGAAACAAAGAGGATACAAAAAAAAAAACAAAACCCAAACCCAAAAAAACCCTGGAAGCAAAGAAAGATAGTTTTATTTATGACACCTCTGCATTGTGTCACAAAGAATCTCTTCAAGAACAGAATAATAAGAAAACTAGAAGCAGATAAAATATTCATAAAATTTCAGAAGTTGATAAACATAACATATAGTCCAGAAAGGTTTACTTAGTTGGAGTAATAATGTTTTAAAACAACCAAACGTATCCCCACTGTGACTGTCAGCAGAAGGATTCTGACTCCCGACGATCCTACAAGGCAGGGGAGAGACGGACAGCGCCCAGCAGGATTCCGAGGCGGTCAGTCTTCACCGAGGTAGAGGCCACATCTGTCCCCAGGCAAGGCCAGTACGCGAGAACCCACCAACTCTTTGGGTTAGCAGTGCGTGCCTTTACCACTGCGTCACCAGGGCCCCTCCACAGCTACAGCGCTGGGGTTTGACTTTCACTGACATCTGGCCAGACACAACGGAACAGAAGTTCAATTCCACAAGTTCTGGGAGAAAGGCACACTGAGGTTCTTCTCGGCATATCAAACTCTAGGTGCCAACAGGGTTGCAGAAGTGGGCTTCAAGGGGCCACCAAGTGCTACAGGAGCCAAACGAGTGGCCGACGTCCTGTGCACGTACAGCAAGACCTGTGACTGCTGGACTCCGCGTGAGGCAGAGAACTGCTACCACAGGAAAGTGCATCTACCTTCACCAGCAGCAACAGAAGAGGGTTAACACCGCACCTTAACAGGGCAAAGGCTTTTGAGAGCCCAGCAAACCGGGCTGAGTTTTAGCTTCCTCAGGTCTCCCTGGAGATGAGTGCGGGCCACAGACCTCCTGAACCACGTCCCACTGACAGGCATTTTCACCTGCTGTCTAACTGCCCATCACCCAGCATGCTATAACCCTAACCCTATCCCCAAGCCGTCACCTCTCCTGAAGAGGGCGGGGAACCAGCAGGCCGATCAGCAGGACTGACTGACTCATGAAGCCCTACTGTCTGCCGAGGCATCTGTTCCCTCACCAGCCGACCCCAGCCTCCTGTGACATTATTCTTCCTCCCCCCCCACCCCAGTTAAAGCTCAGGTCCCCTCCAACGGTCCTAACTTCTTTGTTTAAGCTACTGACAAATTCAGTGAGCAGGGGATCCAGCTTGTCAGACCACAGACAAGATACGAGTAATAAACGGGGTCTGACATAAAAGAAACCAAGGGCAGCTAAGAAAGAAACTGCCTGAGACGCAGCGTTTGATGGCATCGTCTTTCTTTGAAGCAGTCTGCTTGGCGCTTACTTCCTAGTATTCAACTTTAATTGCTATCGGCTGCACTGCTTGGAAGAATTTCTGCAACAGAAAATATTCTTTGTGCTATCAATCTTAAAATGTACAAATAACACTATCCCATGGCCATCAAGTCAATTCCTAACCCCTGTGGGCCTGCTGGGGCAGAGCAGAATTGCAGCGCACGGTTTTTGAGGCTGAAAATCTTTATGGAAGCAAACTGACTCAGCCTTCTCCCATAAAGTGGTTGGTGGAGTTGAACCACTGACCTCTCAGTTAGGTCCCCAACACTGTGCCACCAGGAATCCTTAGAAACCTTGCAACCGAACTTAAATGCTTTTTATAATTTTTTTATTTTTATTATTTGTGTGTGTGTGTGTGTGCACTGTCAAACTGGATCTGACTGGTACAGGAGGAGATTGCTCCTTCCTCCCCAGCAGAGCATCTGGTGGATTTGAACCATGCACCTCTGGAATTGCAGTGCAGCTCCTTGTCACTAGGCCACCAGAGCTCCCTCAGACTTAAACTCTTCTAAGGAGAGCAGAGAATGAATGAGATTTTTAAGTGACTAAAAACATATTCAACAGAAGTTTATACACAACCAACAAAACAAGAACTTTCTCAAAGTTCTCTGTGTAAAAAAATATACATGTTTCTGGGAGAAACTAAACACATGGAGGGGCATAATCTATTCTTAACTTGAAAAACTAACTCTCCTTGATTAGTTCCTGATCTTGAATTTTTTAAATGTGAATCAGGAATGACGACACAATTTGGAATGACTTGGTGCACTGCAAATAAAATCCTATGACTCACTGTTCTAATCCAGAAAAAGAATCAATCTATCTATCTATCTATCTATCTATCTATCTATCTATCTATCTATCTATCTCTTCTTCTATCATTCTTACCTAGCAGTGTTTAAGTTTAGTCCAAGGTAATGGGGAGAATTTTTGTCTTCAGGTTCTACAGACGATGGAGAAGTCTTTTGTAAATTTTTCACCAGGTCAAAGTCTTCCATAGCATACAGAGATTGTTATGATCTGTTATTTGAAATTACAGGTTCTTTCAGTGTTTGAAGACACTGAATCGGAGTCATCTTCAGACACGTCATCGTCTGCAGGCATTTTCAGCTGCTAGCATTCAGAACCATGAAAACCTAAGCTTCAAAGACCGTCTGAAAAATGAACGGGATGGGGGGAGAAAGACTATATAAAAAGCGGCTCACTGCTCACGCTGCCAACTATCTTTTCATGAGTCTAGGGACCTTGAACTCTTTTCTACAAATGGACTTTAAGAACAGCAGCATCTGTAATAATGGCTGAAATGGAGACATAACTCAAATGTCCATCAATTGATGAACAGGTCCACAGATGTGGCCTCGCCTCATGATGGAATGTTCCTCAGCCAGGATAAGGATGAACTCCTGGATGAACTTTAAAAACGTAATGCTAAGTGAAAGAAACCAGCTGTAAAAAGCCAGGTATCATAGCATTCCACTGACAGGAAAAGTCAAGGACAGACAAATCTACATAAAGACAGGAAATCGAATAGCGGTTTCCAGGATCTGGGGGAGAAGAGAATGGCGAGTGACTCCTGATGGCCATGGGGTCTCCTTTCAGGTGACGGAGAAGAAACTGCACAGAGTGGTGATAACTTCACACCTTGCACATATTTATTACGAGCTGCTACGTGTGCACTTCGAAAGGGCACATCTGATGAGAAATTCATTCTATTTCAGTCTTTTAAAAGCCACACTGAGAAGGATTTGCAAATACACCATCCTCCCTTTCAGGGACTCTTCCAGAATTGGTGTATTTCATAATCAAAGTTCTAGATACAGTCTTCGATGTAACAATGGGAATACTTAATGCCTTGTTAGCTACTAAATCCCTACAACCATCATGTGTGGTAACTTAGATGAATGGAACTAGCTACTGTTTAAATAGGTTCTGTAATAACTGGCAGTGTTGATAAAGGTAAGGTCGCCTCCTCTGGGCAGGGCTGGCAAGAACACATTTTGCACTGTGTGTGGATGTGTATGTAAAGCTACAAAGAATACCATTTCACCGTTATGCATGTGTTACTTCTTAAAACAAGAAACAACTGGCCAGATCAACTCTGATTTTATTGAAGTTGGGGGTCCAGAGGTGGACTGGCTGCGTGGAGTCAAACCCTTTGCCTCCTAAATTGCTTAGGAGAGAGCCAGGCCGTGAGAGAAAAGGGAAAAGGGATCCAGACTGCTCTCGAAATGAACACACTTGAGCAAGCAACAAAGGCAAGAGAGCTCCTCTTCAGGGTCCTCCGGGTCCTCCCTCTTCCAGGGCCCATTCTCACAAAGCCCAAGGTTGACTCAAAGGCTCTGTGCACTTCCTGCAGGGACAGGTGTGAATGGGAAGGGTAAACAGAGCTAACTCACTGGATCGCTCCCCTGTGGCTCCAGGGGACAATCGGAGTATTGAAGAGTCAGAGGCTGCACCTTCCAGGCAAGGACCACAGTATCACAATATCGGCATTCCAATCTCCACGCCCTCCCCCCAGGAAAACACCAGCTCGCTGCAGCAGGATGGATGGGGAGGTGGGCCTGCAGCCCCTCCCTGCTGAGGTATTCTGGAAACAGAGACCTAGGCAGAATCCCAATGGACGGTCAATGATGCAGGTTCAGTGCAACCAACGAAGAAATAGGTGTGAGGAATACAAAAAGAGACAAGTTTTCTATTTTCCAGCCACCAATTCTGACTTCCCTAGCAAATGAAAACAAACCACAACAAAAATCCTAATGGAGATCCCGGGTAGAGGAACAGAGTTGTCTAGTCTCCAAATTCTGTCATTCCTAGTAAATAAGTAATAACAAAAATCTTATAGCGAGCTCTGGTGGCCTAGTGGCAAGAAGGTGTACTACAATCCCAGAGGTGTGTGGTTCGAATCCAACAGATGCTCTGCTGGAGAAGGGAGAACAATCTCCTCCTGTACCAGTCAGATCTGATTTGACGGTACACACACGTACACACACACACACACACACACACACACACACATACACAAAAAATAAAATTGAAAAAAAGCAAAGATATCAAGTGCAACAATAAATGGAAATCCAAAATCTCTGTAAATGTTCACTAAAATTAATAAAATTTAAAAACATTAACAAAAATCTTAGTGTAGATGGATGGATATGGGGGTGAACAGAAAAACAGACTTTTTTTTTTCTATTTCTCAAGGACAAATGAATTCTGGCGACCCAGCTCCTAGCAAAAAAAAAAGAATATTTAAAAAAAAAATGGAGCTGTGAATAAGGAAAGATGGATGGATCAGGCCCCAACCATAAAATAAAAGTTAACTAGGAGTCTTGATCTGCGGGAGAGAAAGGCAAACCTAAAATCCACTAATTTTGGTCCTTTCCAGGTCCTGGCCACCCTGCAGGGCGGAGTGGACGCGCAGGATTTTCAAGGCTCGGATCTTTAAGGCGCAGATCGCCAGGTACTGCTGCCTCGGAACCTGCCGACCTTGGCCCAACGCTTACCCCGAGGCGCCACCAAGAGCTCCTTTCTCCCCCCCCCCACCTCCCCGACCCCTTCCCGCGCCCCGATGACCAGAGAGGGTCATTTCAGAGGTCCGGAGGCCGGATCCCGACAGTCCAGCGCTCAGGACGGACCTCGGGTGCTGGAGGCGGCCACAGAACCCCCAGCAGGAAGGGGAGGCCGAACCCCCGCAGTCGCCCAAGCCACGGACAGCAGGGAGGGCGGAGGAAAAGTCTCCCCACGGACAACCACAGCCCCGATGCCCAAAGTGAGCCACCGAGCACCGCATCCCCCAGAAAGAACCACCGCTCCCGCCCCTCAGCAAATGGCACGCTGCCATTGGACGGCGAGGGTGTCACTCATCACACCGAGCCTAGAAAGGCACCCGGCAGCGCGCAAAGCCCCCCACACGCCAGCGGGCTCCGGTGGGAAGAGGTGGCGGGCGTCCACGTCCCCTCCTCACCCTAGCCCAGCTGGACACTTAAAGGTCTTCCGAGTCAGCGTCCTCTCAGTCTCGTGCCCTTTCCCCCGCGACCGGCAGCCCCCCGGAGGCCAGCGACCGCTTACCTGACCGCCGCTCCCACTAGCGATGTCAGGCTCGGGCGAGCCGCCTCTCGCGACCGTTAAACACCGGGGAGCGTGCGCGCGCCCAGCACCTTGCCTGCGATTGGCTGCTCGGCAAGGGGGCGGAGACAGCCGAGCGGCGGCGCGCGCGTGCTCCCCGCCCCTGAAAGATGGGAGGGGCTGGGCTGCGGTCACAGTCTCGCTTCTGATTGGCTCTCTGGGACAAGCCTTCTGCCACGCGGGAAAGACGCTTCCGCTTCTCGCATGCGCAGTTTGTAAGAACGAAGTTTCCGCAGGGGAGGGAAGCCACGCCAAGAGTACTGCGCGTGCGCAGAGCCGGGAGCACGCCTGGGAACCCCTTTTCTGCGGAGACTGGTCCTGTCACCCGGTAAGCGTCCCTCAGAGGTCATGCAGCCCTGCGGCTGCTCACAATTGCCAAGGGTTGTAGACAGAGCACCGGGCGCCGGCACAATGTGTTTCCAAGCTTGTGATTCTGGGTCCCGCAACCCTGGCGGCGAGGGGAGGCTTGTACCTGGTTTACCCTGGGGTGCTAGGGGCTCTTCCTCGGTGCATTTACAAGGCCCAGGGAGAAGATAGGTCTTCATCGTGGACGGTGTTGCAGATGAGGCCTGAAAGGCAGTGGAATTGCCCTCATGTCAGCAGAGCTTAGGAGTGGCGCAAGCAGTTTGAAGTCTGCCACTAACCTGAATGTGAGCCGGTGGAATTCACCCAGCGGTGCTTCAGGGTAAAGGCCTGGCGATCAGCTACCGGAAAGAGTACCTGAGTGAGAACCACCTGCAGGGCACTGGCTTAGATAAGAGGCAGCAGACGTGGTTAGCCCGGCCCCACGGTGGACCCACTCCGCCTTGCAGGTGTCCTCCCCCCAGCCCATAACTCTCCAGTTCATATCCTTCATACTAACAACCCGTTAACGGGGACGTCCAGCTTTCCATTTCCCTTCGAGGATCACCAGGTGTGCATGAAGTGGCACCAAAAAGTGATGGTTTGGGAGCTTTTCTGTACCATCCGAATCCGAGGCCTTACAGCTTATCTGAGCCAGCTAAGAATACCTGACACTTATTTTTAACCTCTTATTCCAAACCCCACAGGCGTCTCAGATCCAAGCTTAAGTAAATTGAGTCCCACTCCGCATCAGACCCTGCTAACCCACTTGTGAATAGAATTTGTGTGTAATATCTAACCAAAATAATGTCATTGTCAAGCAGCGATTGCTGAGAACCACACCTCCCTTTGCAGTCTAGACACGTCCGATTCTCAGCAAGCCTGTGGGATAGGTTAGAATTGCCCTTAGAACTTCCCAGGCTGTAAAACTTTGCAGAAACAAACTGTGGCCTTTTTTTCCGCTTCTTCTTCCTCTGCATAACAGCTCTTGAGTTTGAACTGGTGGCTGTTTGATTAATAGCTTGTGTACCTAACCAGTTGAAAACAGTGACCATATTTCAAGGCCACCAAAAGCAGCAGTTTTTATTGCTGATTTAGAAGCAACCGGCAATATCTTTGAGAGGTGCCAGTCTATCTATCTGCTTCTTCACAGCTCAAAAGGAAAGACCCACAAGCTTTAAATCTGCAGTTTAACTATTGAACATGGTAGGAGATAGCAAGCTGCATTTAAATAACAAGACTTTTCATCTTTTGCAATTTTTCTTACTGGATTAGATAATCAGTAACATTACGACAGGTTTGGAAGCAGGAGTGGCATCCACTTCCTAAACAACATGCCTCTGGAAACTCTATGAACTTTAATAAATGTTCATAGTTATAGAGGGGCTTTTGTTCATAGGGTCGCTATGAGTCGTGTTGGACTAGAAGGCAATCAACAACAACAACAACATTAGATAATACATAAGGGTAGGAATTTTATGAAAGTAAGACCTATTTCAAAGCAGGCAATTTTTCCCTTCCCATTTTAGCCTGGTTAGAAGGCAGGCTAAATTTTTGGCTTCATAATTACCCCTTTCAGACCTGATTTCATAGACTGGGATTATGACCTCAGTAGACAACCGGCCTTTGCTTATTTCCTGATTCCCAAATGACTCTTAAAGAGACCCTGATTTTTTTCTGTGCCTGGCGCATAGAGGGTTACGCATTGAATGATTAACCAAAAGATCGGTGGTTCAAATCCAGCAGCTGCTTCACTGGAGAAGGAAGTCCGCTCCCACAACCATTTGCATCTTAGGAAGTTCTGTGGGGCAATAGTCTGCCCTACAGGGTTGCTGTGAGTCCCAATCAATTCCATGACAGGGAATCTTTTTTTTTCCTGAGGGGTTCGTTTTGCTTTTTCATTTGAAAAGTGCTCTGAGGGAGCTCTGGTGGCCTAGTGGCAAGAAGCTGCACTGCAATCCCAAGAGGTACGCAGTTTGAATCCACCAGATACTCTGCTGGAAAAGGAGGGACAATCTCTTTCTGTACCAGTCAGTCTGATTTGACAGTATACACACAAAATAAAATTAAAAAAAAAAAAATAACAAAAGTACTCTGGTTCAAGAATTCAAATCCTAACAAAAGATCAAGCAGTTCAAACCCACCAACTGCCCCACAGAGAACAGTGTGGCATTCAGCCTCTGTAAAGCACCACGGCCTTAGAAACCCCTGGAACAGTTCTGCCCTGACCTACAGGGTTCCCGTGAGTGCGATTCAGCGGGACTGGGTCTGGGTCTGCTTTCCCTTCCCAGCAACATACATGATTTTGGTTTTACCGAAGGTAACGACAGACTAAGGAAACATTGCCAGGTCGCGCACTGAGTAACTCCTGGAGCATGGGGATTGAACCCAGCTGGTGCCCACTGTAAACTCATACCCCTCTTCAAGGCTGCTTCAGAGCCAGAAAAAAAGGAGAGGAGCAGTCAGAAGAGAAAGTTGAGGATGATGAGGCATGCTTTTCCAGGAAATTATTGAGGAATACTGTGGAAGGTCAACCTACCAAGAGAGGGAGATACATTTAGTTTCAAAAATTGAGAATGTAGGGGAGCTCTGGTGGCCTAGTGGCAAGGAGCTGCAACTACAGTCCCAGAGGCGCACGGTTCGAATCCACCAGATGCTCTGCCGGGGAAGGAGGGACAATCTCCTCCTGTACCAGTCAGATCTGATTTGACGGTACACTCACAAAAATAATAAAATTTTTTTAAAAAAATTGAAACTGTAGAGGTCATCCAAGATAAATCTTCTGTTGACCTGCAATATGCATTCCTTATTTTTCTTCATTTGTATGAAATAGAATGTCTTTGATAGTGCTCTGAGAACTTTTAAGGCATCATTAATAGTAAATGGCACCTTTTACAAATTCAAATAATTCTAAGAAACTGTCTCCTGAGAAAACCACTGCTGCCCAGGCAGCCCCAGTTCACAGTGACCCATAGGACAGAGTGCAGAACTGCCCCATTGGGTTTCCAAGGCTGCCATCTTTACAGAGGGTGCACCGGGGGGGCCAGACCACCCACCTTTACGTTAGCATCTGAGCTCTTAACCACTGCGCCACCAGGGCTCCTGGTGGCATGCCTGTTGAGGCCTTTGGAAACAAATGTGGGATGCCATCATTACTGCTTTTTTGTTTGTGTCTGCTTTATTTTAATAGTATAGGCGATAAGTTGGGAAGTTCAGTTAGAGCTTATAAAGAGAAAAAGCACAGTGAGACACATAAATAGGTCAGGCGGAATGCTCTGTGGATTCCGACTTTGCAGGTTTTTTAAAAAGAACAAAAACAGATGTCAGTATTGTGTGAATTAAATAATTTTCCTCTCTCTGTTTCGTTAGTTGTCTCAAGTCTCAACCCTTTCAAATTTAGTAGCAATAAACCTATCAAACTTGGACGAAAACCTACCCTGTGCCGGCCAGTCGACTCCGACTCACCCTGACCCTGCCGGCCCACTAGAACTGCCTCAGCTTTTTCCCAAGCAGCTCCCGGTACATTGAACCTCAAGCATTTCGCTTAGAGGCCTGGCACCCCCAGGGCTCCTTCAATTAGAGCAGACCCCGAGTATTCTCTTCCCCTCCCCTGCTCGGTCCACTCTGTTCCTCCTTGTTTGAGAATCGACTCTGTGTAACCTGCTGACCAATTACTGTCACGTCAGCGCCAACTCAGGACAACCTTGGGTGTGGGCGAACTGTGTTCCTCGGGGCTTCTATCATCCCTAGTCATTGTCCAGCTGTCTGATGCATAGCAAATGATTGCAAAGTCCCTGGCCTGTATCAAGTGCACCTTAGTCTCCAGACTGACATCATTGCTCTTCAGTATTTTGTCGAGGTCTCTGACAGCAGACTTTCCCAACACATATGTCTTTTAATTTCCTGGCTGCTGGTGCCAAGAGTGTTGATTCAAGAGCCAAGCAAACTAAAGCTGTTTACAATCTCAGTCTCTTTACCATCACGATGCTGCCAATAAGCCCAGTGGTAAGAATCTGTTTTCTTGATATTGAGCTTCAATCCATATTGAAGTCTACAGTCCTTGACCTTCTGCAGCAAGTGCTAAATGTCCTTCTGAGTTTCAGCAAGTAGGGTTGTATCATCTGCATAGTGCAGATTGTTGATGAGTCTTCCTCCAATCCTAATGCCACATTTCCCCTCATAGAGCCCAGCCTCCCAGATAATCTGTTCTGCATACAGGTTGAAAAGGTATGGAGATAGGACACATCGCTGGTATACACCCTTCCCAATTTTGAACCATGCAGAGTTCCTTTGCTCTGTTCTGATGACTGCCTCCTGGTCCAAATATAGGTTTGACATAAGTATGATCTAGTGTTCTGGGATTCACATTCTTCTCAGAGTTAGCCACAGTTTGTTGTGGTCCACACAGTCAAAAGCCTTTGTATAGTCAATGAAACACAGATAGAAGGATGGACAGATAAAGGAACTTTGCATATAGTATAGGTTAAACAAAGTGTATTTAAGTATGTTTATATTTCATCTGTTTGTTTTCACCATATTCAGTGTGACTTACCGGCCTGGTTAGGTTCCAAAGTCCAGGCTGTTATATAAAAACTGGCATTATGAGAAAATGGAGGAATTTTTTTTCTTTTCGATTTTCCAACCATCCATTCATCTAGCATCTTTGATTTGGAAGTGAAGATCATAGAAATAATAGCAGCTAATTTGCTTGTGTGCTCACCACTATGGTAGGCCAAGTTCTGGACTGTTCCTCTGCAGAGGCCTGGAGGAGACGAGGCTAGATAGAGACAGGCTGTGGGATTTCAGGACTGAGGCCCAGCTGCTGCCCCTTTCTCCTGTGCTGGGTCAGAGCTGCCCACAAGGAGCCCCCTCCCAGCTCCACTCACACCCACCCTGCAGGCCTTTGATTCCAGGACCCGCTCCAAACCCCCAATCCCCCCACCTGGCGAGACACCCAGGCTTCTGGACAAATTTGAGATACAGTGAAACTAGCATGCATTTCTTCCAGGCACCCTCTGATAACCTTACTTCTTCACAGCCCACCACACTTGTGAGCTGCAGGGCCTCCGGCCTTATATTGTTGGGGGTCTGACATTTGACTCCTCATGATAATGACCCCGGACAACAGAACAAGACCCTGTCTGCTCCTGGACCGTCCATCTCCGTGCCGTCCTTGGAGCCCTGGTGGCACTGCACCTCCCTGAGGGTCTTCCTCTCCCCCTGACTCTCTACTTTCCCAGGCGTGAGGTCCTTTTCCAGGGACTGACCGCTCCTGATAACAGCTCCAAAGGATGTGAGGCAGTCTCCCCAGCCTCACTTCTGAGGAGCGCGCTGGCCACGCTTCGTCTGGGACAGACGTGTTTGCTCCTGAGCCGGCAGGCCGTGGCCTAGTCCGTATTCTTCCCCAGCACCATAGTTCCAAGCATCACTGATTCTTTGGTCTTCCGTACCTATTGTCCAGCTTTCACAT